AGACAAGCCTTGCTGATGCTACGATCTATGTTGCGAAGCGCGTTTGCAACAGATGGTTTTACCCTCTGTTGTATTTAATGCACTGAATCATGAATCGTTCAACAACCGTTCAATATGAAGTAGTTTTTCCATCGTCTTTATAAAATGAAACAGCTATCTACGCTCACTGAACGAATAAAAAGAACAATTTTCAAGTGTACACGTCTGCCTATATTTAGCGCATTTCCAGTGCTTCTAACAGAATACAGGGAAGATATCTCTTGAATGTCAAATTATCATACATACAAATCATAAATGCGGCCGAGAACAGAGTGATCGTCGATGAAACAGACAAACTTGACGTTGATCTCTAAGAGTTTTGAACACTTATAAATAAGGAGTTTAAAGTGTATTGTATTTACTATTAAACAACTCACGGCATAAGGGTTTAAACAGTTGGATTTAACAAAACGTTTGGCAGATTGAATACTTCACCATACAACATGCAATTCCGAAAGCAACAGTAATCGGAATCTCTACAGCATTAATGATACTAGAGTCTGTTACCAATCATATTAATATTGTAGTAAGCATGCGGAAAACACTGTCACTTTCTATGTACTTTATCGACTGAGACTGCACCTTACAAAACGTGTCTAGAAAACTTTAAAAATATCGGAAATTTAGAATAAATTGAAATTTTGCTTCCTTGTATTCAGACTTGTAGCAGATTTAGCTTTTTCAGTCACGCCTATAATTAACTAATACAATTGTACTGGGCATAAACCATTCGTTAGAATGTTTACCGCAATCAAATTTAGGTATCTTACTATTCATGGCCTGACCTTCAATACTGTAACATCGGCAGCGAAGTGTCATATAGAGTGTTTAACTACAGTTTTCATTTCTTTGGCGACATTTGAACAGTCAGCGAAGTGCAGAAGTGCATAATAGCAAGAAATGTAACTTAATACTTTTGGCGCAGGCTTATTAGTTTTGAGTGGTTAGTTTTCTTGTTTAATGTTTTTCAGTTTCTACTTCACGTTAACTCCAGGACCGAATGTGAAAGTTTTAAAACGGAGCTGTGATTGTGAAAACTATACGGATATCGCAAAGTTAACCCCTAGAAATTTTGTATAGGACTGAGTAGCATTCCCACCAAGAGAGCTGCTTAAGCCGGAAGTGAACTACGTTTTGCCTTGTAGTCAGTAGAAAATCATGAATATGTTTGGCTTTTATTAAGTATACTATAACATTAAACTTGA